TTTCCACCTATAAATTTATATTAGAAACTAGGGATGTAACGGTATTGTAAATACCGTCATACCGCAATATAAATTTTTTTCGATATTACCGAAGTCGCATGACTCGGTAAAACTATAGGTCTTCTGAGAAAATTTGCTCAGGCGAATGAAGCGAACGGGAGGTAGCTGAAACTACATTTCCCATCAGCCCATGCTTGACCATCATCCCTTGCGGTCTGTTGTCGCTACAGATCCAGTAATGTGGAAATGGAGTGTGCTGCTAGAAGCGGGGATGAAAAAGAGCTGAAAAACTCTAAAGCGGGTGTTGTCGTGCGCGTACTGAATAGCGGTGTTGTCAGCACACTGTTCAGATTGATGCAGACATGAGACCTCTATCTTACTCATGGTTTGTCGTCTCAAGTGGGGGAAAGACAATGCACAACGTTACCCACTGCTGTCAACCTGGGCCAAGTCATATCTCTCTTGTCCCAGAAACCTCAGTCCCAAATGAGAGGGTTTTTTTCTGTTGCAGGGGACATTGTAAATGCCCAGAGATACCAGCTTTTACCAGATTATATTTATATGATAATTTTCCTTTAAACCCATCTCTATCTAAGTGAGTGAGTGATTAAATGTTGAATGTGATGAGTTTTCAACAATACTAAATTGAAACTTTATTTTTTTTACATGGTTTAGTATTTTTTTGTTATTAAAATTGAAGTTCCTGTTTCAAAGCTTACAGATAGATGGCTAATTTGTATGTCATTGACACTTTTGGCACTTTTTTGGAGTATTTTCATAAGTTTTGTTTTTTCCTGTAAATGATTCAATAAATACCGTACCGTGACATTCATACCGAGGTATTACCGTACCGTGAAATTCTGATACCGTTACATCCCTATTAGAAACAATAGAAAAGTTTGTTGTCATGAGATAATTATAACAATAAAAGATTGGATCCTTTGGTTTTTCGATGTTGCCAACTTTATTTTTATTTTTTATAATTATTTTAAACTTTTTATTGAGATTTAACACAGTTTTTAATTATTTAAAACTTTAAAAATTAAAATAATTATGTTGTGTTTTTTGCTGTTCATTTGCTGATCTACCTTCCTGCAGATTTCAGTTGCTATCCATATCAAACACACCTAAACCAATTAATTAGGACCTGAACACCACTTGATAATTACAGGCAGGTGTGTTTGATATGGGTAGCAACTGAAATCTGCAGGAAGGTAGATATCCAGGAACAGGATTGAGCACCCCTGCTATATACCGTGGGGGTCAAACTCCAAGTTCCTGGAGAACTGCAGCAGCAGAGTTTTGTACCCACCCTGCTTCAACATTACCTGTAGATTTCTAACAAGCCTAATTAGTTTGATCAGGTGTGTTTAATTAGAGTAACAGCTTAAAGTCCCGGTCACACTGCACTTTTCTCCCTATAGACTTCCATTCATACGCATGTGAGTACTGCAGACCTGGAATTAGTGGTGGGCAAAGCGAGGCTTCGTGAAACACTGAAACAGTCGAAGCAAATGTGACAAAGCTTCGAAACGTTTCGAAACCCCACTCTACAGTGACATCTAGTGGTCATTTTTTTATGTATTGCACTGAAACAGCTTCAGCAAAGAACGGTTGAACAAATTAAGGCGTTAAACCCAACTTTGTGTGTTTGATATGTCAATTGACATAGTATAGTGGTTAAGGTGTCAGACTCCCATGCGGGGTTAAAAGGTTTCGAACCCGGCTGTCGTAGCTGTCTTGAAATGCTTTAATACCAATTGGTTATGCTTTGCTCTTGTATCGTTTTGTTTCAACATTGGTGTGATATCCGAATGAGCAATTTGTGAATAAATATGTCTTGTTTTTGTCTTAAAACAGGGTTGTTGCTAGATCAAAAACGGTGGCCTGAAGTTATCAAGAATTATTTATATTATTCATTAAATTTCCCATTTATTGTATTTTATTCATTTCTACCCAAACCCTAAACCCAACCATACTGTAAAAATATTTATTATTGTTTTACAGTGTTACAAAAATGATGCTAAATTGATGGCGTAACTGCAGCTGTATCCTATTTAGGCTACACAAAACAGAAACTTGATTAAAATACATAAAACCATGATTTCAGAGTATTTGTACAAGTCGGGATTCGAACCCAAAACATCATGCAAAGCATAAAATCAATTAGCAATCTCACAATCCTCTAAGCCATATGAGACAAAGACTGTTTGGAGACCTTGGCAGTCAAATGAGGATTTGCCAGGTCTCGAAACGTTTTTAAGCTGATCGATGCTTTGAATCGCTTTAGTCACGTGACTAGGTGTTTCCAAACACTTTAGTCACGTGACTTGGGTGCTTCGGTGCAGTGTTTCGAAACACTTGCGCTTCGGGATCTCGACACTGTGTCAAAACATCAGTTTCACGTCAGCCATCCCTACCTGGAATGATAGCTCATGCGACAAATTTCATAATTCGCAGCATTGGAAAGTTCAAGCTTGGAGAACGCTGACATGCGAAATCACATCATGTGATTGCTTGATACCAATCAAAGATCAAAACATGACCTCTCTGGCTTGCTTTTTCAATCTCTAATTATTTTGTTTAATTCCACTACTCGCTTTGTTTAATTCCACTTCGCAGTGCAGTATGACAGAATTTTGCATGCTCAAACGTTAATGTGACCGCAGCCTTACTGTGCAGACCTGTAATATGCAAGACAATATTTATATCTGCTGATTTATTAATTTTGTTATACTTTTACTGTTATTTATTTGTTTGGTGCCAAAACAATAAAATAAATTTGTCTGAAAAATGTTATGCCTTATATTTTTTAATAACAGCTAAGAATACTGATTAATTTTAGTAACACTACAATAACTATATATGACATACTATTAATGTGTATGCAGTATAATGCTGTGATTTGTAACACTACAATACAGTAATTAACTGTACACAGTTTCCAGTTAGTTACCACTGCTGCTCTATTACAGTAATTAACTGGCAACACTGTTGCCAGCTACTCAATGTATCGGTTCAGTTACAGTAAAAAACTGGCAACACTGTTGTCAGCCACTCACTGTAATGGTTCAGTTGCAGTAAATAACTGGCAACACTGTTGCCAGCCACTCACTGTAATGGTTCAATTACAGTAAATAACTGGCAACACTGTAGCCAGTATTCTACTGTAAAAAAAACCCGATAAGGTCTAACAGTGTACTAATTTTTGTTCATATAGCTATACGTTACCATTTATATATTATATATACTTTTATATATATATTATATATATATATATATATATATATATATATATATATATATATATATATATATATATATATATATATATATATATATAAGTTTGCATTGTATGCATTCAAATTGTTTATCACTTATTGTTTCATAATATTTATTGTTACCATTTTTTACAAAGAAAAAAATTAAATATGCTAAATATGGGAAAGTCAGGATCGCAATTTGTAGCAACAAATAACAAAAAATGTTAAATAATAATGACTTGGTAATTTGTTATACCTTAAGTTATAACTCTTAAATCATAAATCAAGTTAAAAAATATATTTTTATATGTTTTGCATAGGTCCAGATAATATGTAAAATGGCATGAAATGCTTTTTTTTTCTTTTCATTTTCCATTCCTCACTTTTCTGAGGATTAAGAATTTTTAGATATTTGGACTAAAACCAAATCAGAAACTCTTAAGTAAGAAAAGGATTTTTTGCAGAGTATTTATACACATTTTTTTTTTTTTTAGTGAGCATTAAGAATTTTATGCAAGGATTCAGCTTCATTTAAAGACAACTGGCAATCTCTAGAGATATTGTTGTCAATAAATAAATGTAAAAAAAATCTAATGTTGTCTAGGTTTTTGATTGTCAGGTAGCTAAATGGTCCTTGAAATTTTAGAAAGTAGTAAATTGTTTGTCTAAACGTTCTGCAGCTGTCTGGTAGTCAATACCACTGCATTCTTATCACAGCACATCATTACGCCATATTACACTGTATTGTACGGTTATAATTGTGTTATTGTCAAAATGCAACTTTATATATAAACAATACAACAAATTTCATCTCTCTATATAAAAGCGTATAACTAGGCTACAATTAACCATTACACTTTCCAACTATTTGTGTTTTGAATTTTTCTTATTAGATTAATCTAAATTAATTTGCCAGTGGGCTTTTGCATAGCTGAAATTGTTTGGTGAGTGTATCAGTTCTGCATATTCTCTAGTGAGTTTATAACTCACTTTCTGATAAATTAACTTAGCGTTCTTATTCAGCGTAATCTAATGAAAAAAAAAAAAAAATATATATATATATATATATATATATATATATATATATATATATATATATATATATATATATATATATGTGTGTGTGTGTGTGTGTGTGTGTGTGTGTGTGTGTGTGTGTGTGTGTGTGTATTTATGAACAGGACATTTAATAATCTGGGAGAGTAGACTTCAAATGTATTGTTTGGCCATGTATCTTCCATCCCCCCTACTGGACGCATTAGGAACAACAGCGGCGTAAAACTGTGGCGTGTAAAATTGCCTGAGCCGTAAAACTGCCTAGATCCAAGTCTGCAGATGTCCCATATAGGGGTCTGCAGCTTCCCCTTACTCGCCGCTTCACCCAACCCAACAGCAGGGGCACTGTCTGGTCTGTCTGTGCGCGCTAGTCTGAGCGTGCAGTTGGGTCTCCGGGCCTGCAGCTTCCCCTTACTCCACTCGGGCGAGGCGGTGTGGTGAGAAATCGAGTCCCCCTGCAATCGATTCCGAGGCAGTCTATGTCATGAAAGATGCATAAAAATGAACCTATATACACTGCTTCTTCTGCATTAAATATTTGCTGAATAATTTGTAAAACGTTCATTTATAACTATTCTTTTATAAAGTGTGTTTAAAACATGACGCTAATATGAGCTTGTAAAAATATACGTGCGATAACGTCACATTTGTTTTAGGACCTTTCAGCAGATTCAAAATGGCGAATTTTCGGAAAAATGGTTCGGAACTAAATGGGCTGTGCAAAGTATTAACAAACCAAACAAACAAATAAAAACACAAAATTCGTATTATATAATACAGAGGATTTACCCGTTTTGTTTTATTGTTTTCAAAGCGGCAGCTTTAAATAGACATAGCTGCAACCTCCTTTTGAAGGTAAGAAAGACATGCTGTTCACTTTTGCTTTTGTGCACGTTTATTACAGAGAAGCATGATCCAGTCGTACATTAATAGCCTTTCGACACACACACACACACACACACACACACACACACACACACACACACATATATATATATATATATATATATATATATATATATATATATATATATATATATAAACAACGCAGGTTTATGTAGCGGTAACGCACAGACAACGTAGTTTATTTACTTCTTTACTTCTGAGTATTTGATCAGTAACGTTAATTACATGGTCTCAAATAAGCAATGCAAACTCATATTGATTCTAGTAGAAATACTAAACTATTTTATAATTTAGAGTTTGAGAATTTATAACAGGGCAACGCTGTGGCGCAGTAGCAAGAAGGTCGATGGTTCGAGCCTTGGCTGGTTAAGTTGGCATTTCTGTGTGTAGTTTGCATGTTCTCCCCGTGTTCGCATGGATTTCCTCCGGGTGCTCCGGTTTCCCCCACAAATCAGGTGAAATGGGTAAAGTAAAATTTTCTGTAGTGTATGTGTTTGAATGATAGTGTGGGTGTTTCCCAGTGATGGGTTGTTGCCTGAAAGGGCATCAGCTGCGTAAAACATGTGCTGAATAAATTCGTGGTTTAATCCGCTGTGGCGACCCCTTAATAATAAAGGGACTAAGCCGAAAAGAAAGTAAATAAATGACTGATCTTATAATACATAGTAATAATTGGACATTTTATAGAGTTATTATAGTACTTTTACGATTCCTAGTAGGATGCAAAGCTGTTCTCTGTTAAGAAGTGTAGCGTTACGCAAGTTTGGGAAGTTTTTCTTTTTTTTTTTTTTTTTTACAAAATACATGCTTTAAATAGTTATCAATATTATACATTTTTATTTAGCAACTTACTCGAAATACTTAAGAATATGCATATTTTAAGCTAATTAATACAAATAAATAGGATTCCATGCAGTTTTATGCTGCATTCCAAGCTTTAAAACGAATCCAAATACACAGACACAACTATTCTAAAAATAGCCAAAACAACCATCATAATTCTTCAAGTTATAAAAAATAATTGGGTAATTTCTACAGAAACATCTATTTTTAGCATGGCAATTCAGACAAGATGTTTAAACATTTATTTCTTTTTTAACATTTAAACTTAGACCACATTATTCAATTTCTTTTTACAGAAGGATATCCAGGACAATTTTTAATATGTGGATGCATAAATTTTGACCCAATCCAAATGTAATAGCAAGTTGCACATTTGCAATTGCATTTCCACTTTTGTGAACGCGCAGTGACTGCCACATTTCAAATAAAAAAAGAAAAGTCCATTTGAAAAATGCATTTCCCATGTCTTACGAGCTATGGGCCTGACATATCTGAACAGCTATATTAATTGCTTCACTTTCTTTTTTATTAAGCTAGAAACAAGAAAAAAAATGACAACATAAAATATTTGCTTTATCACAAACTGTAGTAGCATTATTGGTAATAAATATTGAGGCAACAGAGGCAACGTATATAAGCTAGCTTGAAAAATTGTTTATTAAATATAGATTGTATAATTTGAAAACATGCAGTAAAATCATAATGGTTTTACTTTGCAAAATTATGCTACATACAGTACATGTAAATCACACTACAAGATGGCTAGTAGATGGAGCTTACAGATCAGTAATAATCCCATCATTATGAAATTTGCTGAATCACAAGTATATTGAATTAAGCCCATTTATACATAACGTTTAGATGTTTGATAACTGCAAATAATGTCAGCATATATTTTGCTAATATTTTCAGATCTCTTAAAACAAACTACAAAAAATCGTTGAAACATTATTAGGCTACTATGAAACTTAAACCCGATTATTAATTAATTAATTCATTCATTCATTCATTCATTCATTCATTTATTCATAGTCTTTTCGGCTTAATCCGGGGTTGCCACAGCAGAATGAACTGCCAACTTATCCAGCACAATTTTACGCAGCGGATGCCTTTTAGGCTGTAACCCATCTCTGGGTAAAGCCTGGTTTAAACTTCTGCGTTAAGTGACCGGCGTGACCCACGGCGCATGCAACGGGTGTAGCTGTGCATTTATACTTCTACGCGCTGTCTCTTTTGATCTGAATTAACACTTCCGAAACGCTAGTTGGCAGTAAGGTGTTTATGTTCCTCTGTGTTGAAATTCTTCTCTGCTGTTTTGCTTTTCCTGAACACTTCCTGGATGTACAAGTGGCTTAAACTTGCTCATTTTGAGGCATCTTTTGTGCAGTCTGGGATTTGAGAAAGAGATGCGCGGGCTTTAAAGTGTCACGAAACACCAAAACACGTATTTTGAGCTGTTGACAGTCGTATATGTGTCCCACACTGCTAAAAACACTATTAGGACACCTATATTTCACCAAAAAGTGTAAATTGGTTGTTTTTGCGTTATTTTAAGCAAATTCGTACTTCCGGTTTGAAACGAATTTTTGAAGCTGCGTCACGGTCATGACATAATAGCGTTGTATTCCAGCGTGCAGACTGGGCGTCTGTGCCAGAGTGTGTCTTGTTACGTCTTACAGTGTGATGCATTAATGCATGAGTAAAGCTTGGTTCAAACCAATCAGCGCGCTCTATTGTGGAACTTTATTAATATTCATTACTGTCGTAGTGTTCAGACGGCAGAGACGCCACGTTGTGTTGGCAAAACAAGCGTGAAGTGTTGCTTTTATATCTTGCTGCCGTTAAGTTTTGTTTTCATTTTCTCTCTGTGAGAGCTCATCTGGATCACGCGTGGATTAACAGTGTACGCGACGCTCGACAACAATAACTTGCGTGTCTAAGGAGGATTATTGTTTACCTGAGAGCTGTTCTCATCTGCAAACGCTGAGATCCGGATTCGCTTGTAGTATTCTCTTCATAAAGACGCGGCTCTAGTTGCTGGGGATTGTCCTGTCTCTACAGATTTGGTAAGTGAGCGACCAGTGCTCTTTGTTTATTCAGTTTGTTCGTATCGAACTAAGTTAACTATTGCACCGAGTGCAAACATGTTAGCACCACAACCAAACTTTACCCTCGTGTAGGGTTTTTACGGCATTTTGTGACCAGAATAACACACGCGGCTTTCTGACGCTACCTGCCGTGTGCATCTAAGTTTCTGGAAAATGCTGAGTTTTTTTTCTCTCATTCGCCGTGCGGTATCAAACATTGCATGAAAAATACACGCTTAGAGCAGTTCCTCGAATCAAATATCTCGTTTGTCGCAAGAGGGCATGAATGAATTCCCTGAATGAAAGAGCCAAATTGCAGTTAAAGTCCACCATTTAATAATTCGACTACAGATGTCCATGTAGGGTAAATACCATCACTTTCTCCTGTGTGTGAGTATTTTGACTAAAACTCGCGCGTGCCCAAATAGACACTCCCACACCCTGCCACTTTAGTTCCTCAGACACTCCCCCCTAAACAGAGCTGGACACGCCCACTTTGCTGACTTTTTCCAAAGTAGAGGTGTGAAAACACCCTGCTGAAACGAGGGGGTTTTATGGCCCTTTAAGTCAGAACTATTAAATTCCCTGGCTTTCACTGACTAAAAACTTAATTTACATTATATCTAAAGAAATAGACTATTTATAGAAATAGACTATAGAATTTACAGACTGTTGTTGTGCTGTAATAATATTAAGAATATAAATATAATATTAATACTTTTCGGGATTTTTTTTAAACACAAATTGAGCCTCTCAAATTATTTTAAACATGTTTGATGCTGTTCAGGATTTTAAGTCGAGCTGATCACTGCTCTTATAACCTGCCCTCCAACCTACAGCCAATGAAAATATGACAACATAAAAATTTATTTGCTTATCGAAGGCTGTAATAAACTCATTTGCAATTAAATTAAAGGCAACCACTGCAGTAATGGTGATCCACATTGTAGTGGCCATTAGCATGCTTGAGTAATAGTTTATTTAAATTTTATTTATTATTTAAAAATATTAAATAAAACATAATTAAAAACCTATCTTGGCTTTAAATTACTTGAAATTATGCCACATTAATTACTCATCCAGAAAAGACTTTGCAGAAAAAAAATGCTAAATCCTTCCAGTAGGTGGCACATACAGATCAGTAGTGAGGACCAGTAATGACATTACAAATGCAACTAAATATTCTACATTTGATGAAATAAAATGTATTACATAGGGCTGGGCGTTTTTTTTTTCCGATTAATTTGAATTTACGTTTTGAAGACGATTTAATTTGATATTATATCGAGAAATCACAATTAAAAAAAAAAAAAAAAAAAGATACATTATAATGGCACCAATGCGCTTTGGTTCATGGTTTTGGTTTCTATACACACACCGGCACTGCCCAGCCACGATTTAGGATGCAGTTTATATTTCAGCCGCGCCACAGAGCGCCATCTGATTAGTTTTATGTTAAATATCATGCAAATGTGCGTGTCTGATGTGTGATAGTTTAAACTGTCATGTGCGCGCCGTGTCGTGGCGCTTCTGGTGTGCTTGACTGTCTGTTAAAGCGTGAAGTCATGTAGGATTTTACTTGTTGCATTAGTCTGAGTTAGGCTAAGATGCGACACCGGTGACATCACTATTCCACCGTGACACCGTCGCCACATTTGTTTTTTTTAAGTATTCATTTTTTTTTTTTTTTATTAAACATTTAATTGTAATAAATGGAAAATATAATTATAAATAATTGACTTAAAACGAGAGCATGCTCTATAATTAAAATCTAAACATAGCTACAGTGCGTCATATTTCATTTACCACGTGAGGAGAAAAGAGGAGTCGAATTTACAGAAAGAGGATGGCGGACAATTTATTGTCAAAACTAGGGCTGCCCCCAAATAGTCGACTAAACTTTAGTCGATATGAAGAGGGCTTGGTCGAATACATTTTCATTAGTCGGTTAGTTGCATAAAAAAAAAAAAAAAATCACGTGAAATTACGCAAATCAAGGGCTGCGCAGTCAGTGTATGA